CATCAATTTGAAAACTTTTATAACTGTTGTAAAAATTATATATAATGACAGTTGAAATGTATTTAGTTACAGCTCTATATTAGTTGATAAAGTTCTGCTAATATTTTTAAATTTCTTTTGTCTATAGAAAGCTCAATGTATTGTTAAAAAAATTTTTGGGCTTTAACACCCGGTTTATCAATTGTCTCAAATTGTACTTAAACGTCCCTTAAACAGGATCTTGTTTCTAATTTTAGTATTTTTTCACGATCAGTTGAAAGCAATTTGATGAAAACTAGGACTTTTGCCTTGTGAAAAGTTAAAAATTAAGTTATCGAGAATGATCAGTTGAGGTTTTGTACTTTTCTCAATTCAGAAACATGCCCTTTGATTTCTTATATTTATTAGTAAGTAATCATTACGTTAGCGATATATATTCGACCATATAAATAACACGAAATGGGTTGGGCACCCAACCATATTACTGAATGATCAGTTGAGGTTTTGTATTTTTCTCAATTCAGAAACATGCCCTTTGATTTCTTATATTTATTAGTAAGTAATCATTACGTTAGCGATATATATTCGACCATATAAATAACACGAAATGGGTTGGGCACCCAACCATATTACTGAATTTTACACCGAACGCATTATTTGGTGCTTATATAATATTATTTGGTGATAACTCTTAATTAAATTTGTACTGCTCAACTCCTGTTCCGTTACCCGCATATAGCAGCACACACGTCAAATTATTTGGCAGTCAGTCACTCTCATCTGACCGCGGTCACGTGAGTCACAACCCTTGACTCGCTGACTCTTAACGCGGACGGCGGCTGTCACAACGTAACTTATTAACTCGATACACCGACACATCGTGCGTCGAATGTCGAATAAGACACGAGGCATTTGTTTTAACGTCCGATTTCAAAATAAAAAGATGGGCAGACGCGATTGTGTGGGGTACTCAACGAAGCTCTATTTTGTATTGTCAGTGTATTGATATTGAGTAATTATATTATTATAGGAATTGAATAGTAGTAGCTCGGTGGCGCGATCTTAGTCGTTAAGTAACTTTCGCAAGGGTCAGTCACGGGATGGGTGACCAAAAAATTATTATCTCGAGCTATTCCGTGCTTCGGAAGGCACGTTTAGCCGTTGGTCCCGGCTGCATTTGCAGTCGTTAATGCCCTCCAATCCGCATTGGGCCAGCGTGGAGGGTCATGGCCCATCCTCCTTAACCATCCATAAGGAAGGCCTGAGCCCCTACAGTGGGGACGTAAAAGGGCTGGTGATGATGATGATGATGATGAGGAATTGAATAACCCAATAGTTGTTTTATAGAATGAATTAATGGTGCCGTTGTCTTCTGCATCGCACGAGCGTTTTTTGTTTGGTTTGCGTGACCGCCAGTCTATATAAAATAGATCTCCCCCTGATGAGGTCCCCCCTCTATAGAAAATAGATGTCCCCGTGACTCGTACAAGGCTTCCCTACGGATGGAACCAAGTAGGTAGAACGCGCCTTCAGGTATACCACGCGGGTCCAGTGCGATATGATAGGTGTTTACGACTGCAAAGCAGTTGGGATGAAACACTTAACGTGCTTTTCTAAGCACGGACGGGCTCGAGGTGATAAAATTTTGGTCACCCATCCTATGCAAAAGTTGCTTAACTTCCGTATTGCTGACCGAAAGCGTTAACTGCGCCGTAGAGCAACTCAACGTTTCAATTTTCCATAATATCTACCTACACGTCCAACATCTTTTTAAGACTTTAACACTCACTAGCTACCACGGTCAATTTGTTATGGCCCAATTTGTATGGGAATAGAAAAGTATTGTATTTTATTCTCTCTACTTTTCCCTGTTTTTTCTCTCCATAAGAATCTTCGCTGAAGTTCAACGAAAATTGAAAAAAATAATTACTACATTTGTCTCGTCATTCTTAATTCTTTTTGTACCTAGTAAAACATTTCGAGATTAATTTTATTTATAAAAATGTGATATATAACATTAATTTAACATTTCAGAATTGATCAGATGTTTCTCATTACACCTAAAGTGTACTTAATAGCCGAAGAATTAATTCTAAAGCTTTTAAGGCAATTTCTTCGAGTTTCAAACTTCCAATCAATAAAATAAACGTAATGCCTAGTTAAAGATAATTAAATTTTTTAGAAAAAGTACCTACAGATAAAAAGCTAAAATGGGAAATGATAACCAATTAGGAAAAATTAATGAAAGTTTCGCAAAAAGCAAATCGGAATCGTAAATGAAATTTTACACCACAGCAAGCTAACGACATTAATTTATCCATTTTATTATTTCTTGTGTCAGAGGCTCTATAGGGACACGTATTCAGTAAAACCTATTACAGTTCAAAAGGTATAGCCTTATGATAGACAGACAGATGATCGAAAAGATAGACAGCAAAGGCATATTAATATACGCCATACGAATTCTAAATAAGTAATGTTATCTCAAATTAAAATAATATATCTTCTTAAGTGTGTAACTTTGTTACGGCACTATTATAGTTAAGGTTTTTTAAGTTATTCTCTGTAAAATTTTAAGAAAGTATTTTTTAAAATTTATATCTAAATAACTTGCATCCAAGTATAATAGAAACCATTGGAATATTTCGTCTTAAATGCTAGAAAATGACAGCATACGTAAAAGTGAAGTATTTAGACCAAAAACACATAACAACTATCTCAATTAATAATACAAATTTGCGTCTAGAATTCAATGACATTAAAATTTTTGCAAATTAATTATTACTCAAAGTGAAAATTGATAAAAACGTTAGTTTATAGCTTAGGCTCGATTTTGAGTAATTTTATGATATTTAATTCAATTCTTGATATTAATTTCTTATATTGTCACGTGCATTATCCATAAATGAAATAACTTTTAAACAGTTTCATCGCGTTTGTATTTAGTTTTATTGACGACAAAGACTTATGTGTTGACACCTTAGTCTTATATAACACGGAACCTGTAAAGGGTTCGAAACCTCAATAGAACTAAATAAAAATGCGATGAAACCGTTTAAAAGTTGTTTCATTTATCAACTCTTGATGTTTTATTTGCGTCATTTATTTCCTCTATTCCTTATTTTCACTTTAATTCTCAAACTATAAACTCCTTTTGTAAAAATGACAAGATAACATCATATTTCTAAAGTGTTCTGTATAAGACAAAATGTAGATTTATAAAATTATCGCGATTGAAAATAAGCACACGTTAACCTTAAAATTTGTACTACTTGTTGTTTATTGAAACTAAAAGCGTTACTTATAACATAGTTTATCGCTAGATTAAGGTCAATAATCGTTTCCACATAATCATAATATTAAGATAATTTGTTTTTTTAGACACAGATCATTTACAAAAGTGTTTCCGTTACTAGATTTCTATTAAGATTCTGATTATACCCTTTTTATAGAGAAAATTGTAATATACTCTTTGTAGTCTGAAGAATTACGCAGCTTCACACATTGTATTAAACAAAGTCGCTTTCCGCCTATCTGTCCTTATGTTTACACCTTTAAAACCCAACAGATTTTGTTACAGTTTTTTAATTAATAGGATTATTCAAAAGGAAGGTTTTACGGATAAAAGATGACCACGCGGGCGAAGCCGCTAGCAAAAACTAGTCCACAATAATCGTAATAGTTTACAAGTAATTTATTATATCGTTTTTACCACGCCATTCCATATTGATAAAGACAGGTTAGGCCCTATTTTATGGCTTAACTTTTCTCAGTTTTCTTGTAAAATAAAGCTAATATATTTTCTCATATAGTCGCAAGCTATTTTAATTAAGCAGTGTTTAATTATCACTATTAATTTCATTTTATTGAAAGCGTTAGCGCACCCCGTAATTAAGTTTGTGTAGTTAAAGCGGTATAGCCGTTATTAACCATTAAGCACTTAGTAAGTGGCTCTTTACTTAGAGAAGCGAGGACTAAGTTGAACTTGTTTAAGTTATTATACTCTATGATAGCTTACTTACGGAAAGTTTATTGGGTGAATAGTTTTATGGGTATATAAAATAAACGTATGGCGGAGCGGATACGGTTTTAAATAAGAATTAGAGAAGTTGATTAGGTAATTTATAATGTTGACTTTAATTAGAGAACACTCTTGTTTTTTGTAGTAGATATACATTGTATGAATAATACAATACTATAAGTAATTGTTTCTAATAGGAACAAACCAGATAAGAACCATAGTTCTAGAATATTATTCAGGGAAGGATAAAACGATGATGACGACAAATTTTTGTTTGTTTGTCTGTCTGGTAGATTGTTGAAAAATATTAAACAAGTATTTTTTTTCGCAATCATTAAATTACAGCGACACATTGACTTAAAATGGCATTAAAGTTGAGGAGTTCCCACTTGTCAACTTTAATGCCTGTTATTTTATTTCTTGTTAAATTGAAGTAAAAAAAAAATACGCGTCTAATATTTTTCTATTATCAGACTGACGGATTAAATAGAATTTCTATTTCTTTTCACCCAGTCCTCATCCCTATGCAGAGAAACTTCGAATGACGCAGCTTCGATATGTTCACTCATCCTGTGCATGTCTGGTCAGTGTGATTATCAGCTTGATTATAATAAGTTTTACTTTGAAACTTTTAAAAGTAAACACGCTTTTGGCACTAATTTAATATTAGTACTATTTTTAGATTATTGCCTAGTTTAGTTATTTTAATTTTTTTTCTTAGTTATGTACCTAGCTATTGGTCATTTTACTACTTAAATAAAAGTATGTACACGATAAGTACTGTGCTCCTTAACCGAATTAATGTGAAAGGGGAAGTAATTGAATTATTCAAAAAGATTCTCACATTTTTGCTCTTATTTTTTTACACACTCTGTTGTGATATTTTTTGTAGTATTAAAATATCTTTGAACTGTATTAAATTATGAATTTCTGATTGTATGTAACTTCAAGCTCTGTTTATGTTTTTTGATAACTAGAAAACTTAAGAGTGGTTACTTACCCGTTGGCTTTGGTACATTCCTTTTGACCTGCATCCACTTGTAAGTAGGCACGGCAGAGTGGGACGCGTGCGCCTGCAGATGGTGAGGGCCCAAACACTCCTCCCGCCCGAACCCTTCCCTCACTCCGAACTCCTCTTTAGGCTGATACTGGTCGAATCCTTCACAGGTCAAAGGTGAACCTCCATGGTTGTACTGTATCGTAGCTTCATCCACAAAATGCATGTTATACTTCGTTTCTAGATAGTGATTGTCCAATTTATGGTCGTGGGAATGCATCTCATCATGTCTTGGCACATCTTCTCTATGTTTGAAAGCCTCCGAGTGTGAAGGTAAAGAATGCAGCTGATAGTTCGGCTGCAGTTCTCCGTAGTCCAAATTGGTGTAACACAGTCCCGTATCTGTACTGATCACAGGCGTCGTGGGGTGTTCATGCGGCGGCTGTGTATGCAACAGCGGTTCGTAGTAATGTGATGGTGGCTCGTAGTATCCCTCGTGGTAACCTTCGTAAGGAGCCTGGTACGCCGCTCCCTGCTGGTAGTACTCCGCGCTGCCGTAACCGTTCTGCTGGTTGTTGTACATCCCGACGTCCATAGTCATCATGTTGTCACGAGCACCGCGTCTATAGACAATGAGCTTACATCACACACGACACACGCCGTCGTTTCGGCTATGGTTTCGTTCCGGAATTCGATGCGTTCGAAATTAAAAAAAAAAACTGATCGTGTCCACGCGCTTTCGACCGCACGCCCGCACGTCAGGTGTACCGGCGAACACTGTACGTTATATTTTCTTTAACCACACCTAACATTCGAGTTCTCCGTCCCTGTCTCGCGCAGTACGAACTTAAGGAGCCGAGGCAGATAGGTTTATCTACAACGGTGGAATGATATGAGTTCGATAAGATTGCAAGGTAGATACCGTGATATTGGAAGTATATTTGGCTTCAGTGATTTTTGTATAGAGGAATTTGTGGGATTACAAGTGAGACTTAGGTCGTGCGCCGACGGGCAGATACAGCTTTGTGCTGGGAACTTTCGTGTGCGATGGGCGGAGCGCGGTTGACAGGAGGCGGCCGGCGGACCGTCCGACCAATCGGCGGGTCGTACTCCGATCTCCATTTTGGATTGGTCGGCGCGAGATAATAGTGCGAATCTGGGAGGCTGGATGCGGGCAGCGGTTGTTTTTTTTTTTATTTACTTTGTGTTGTACTCAATGGTCCTGTCCGTTTACGCGAAACTGTGTAATTTACCCTTGACGTAAATCGATTTCAAGGTGCGAACGGAAGCACCTCCTCCATCGGTCTTATGGAACAGCTGTCACTGTTGTTCTGGATGACTGTGTTTCGTATACGACGTGAATGAAATGAATGATGTGCTCCTTTCAAGATTTTTCGGTTTCTCGAGCTTTTGAAATCTGACAGGCGACGACTGAAGGTGTGACGCTTGAATCATTATTCAGGCTTGTATAGTACTTCGGACTTGTATAGAATTCTATAGTGAAACATTTGTAAAAATATCCAGTTTGGGATTTTTTTCAGATGATTTTTACTAACTTTTTTAAAGCACCGATTCTTCGTTAGATGTAATTTAAAAGCTTATACATTATATGGTACTGGCCGGATTAAAAATATTTACATAAAACCGTGACAATCAGGTAAACTGACACATTTGTCAGTACAAATGTTTGGACTGGTTTTACTTCGTACACAGATATGACGACGTACACAGATATGTCACAGGTCTGGGTGTTATGGTACCTTTATTTATTATTTAATGTAAATGGATATAATAATACGAGTACCATTTCATTTTTTTATTAAACCAGATATTTTTTATCAACATATCTTATCCGGTAGGTACTGTGAAAGTAAGCCGTTTTATATTTAGTATTAATTTCCGGAGTTGATTTTGAATCCTACCCTCAACATATTAAAGTTTTAAATCTGATCAGAAATTTGGCAGGTTGCTCAATAGTGACGTATGTAAATTAAAACATGTTTTGAATTCACCGTTTAAACCTATCTACAGCCTTCCAGATCTTATTTATGTCGAGGAAACACTTTAAGCACTGTCCAAGCAAAAGAGTATGTGTAGGACTCTCCTCCGTGAACCCGCAGTTCAGTGGGTCCCCGAAAGCCTCTCCACCAAAACCGCTACGGTACACCCTCTTGTGGGATATGAGACCCGGGAAGCCGTGACCGAGTCACCAGGATACTAAAGCCCTCTTGACTTGACTTTCCGCCAGCTTTCCATCTATTGCGTTCTTTTTGAAACTGCTTAGGTAGTTTTAGACTGTTTTTGTTACTACTGTTTTATATGTAAAATGCTAAATTTTGACGTTCTTGATCTCGGAATAAATAATATAATAATAATTTTCCTTATTGAATATATAGATATAATAATATATATATAATAGATAGATTGAAGCAGCTTCGCTTTTTGTAAATTATGATTTAGTTTTTTATTAGACCCAAAAATTACAGAGATTTTTTTTAATTATATGCGCGATGGCACTATTGTGAGCTAATCAATTGAGATCTAAAGAAATGAAATAAAAAAAATATATAATGTTACCTCATATAGTTATAGTCTTGAAAATTTGAAATATCATATATTAAATGGAGAAAAAAATGTTACTAATAAACCAAATTAACTTTGAAAACCTTCGAAAATAGCTTTCAGTTGACCGCGAATTTCGCTTATCTACGATAATATTATTGAATAATTATTATTCTACCAGAATAATAATAATGCGAAGCACCGGCTGTCCGAGTTCAGTTTGTTAAGTCGCGTATCTAATTTCTTTTATATTTGTAATAGCTTCTTAACGACTTAAGAAGGTCGATAGTGCACAGGGCTAGCGTATTTAGCCTGGCATGCAAATGTTAAATAACTAAGGCCCGGTAATAAGACGAGTGACCAAAATATTTTTATTTCGAGAAAGTACTCGAGACTCGAGAAATGCTTTGTCAACACCTAAATATTGAGAGTGAAATATAGTATGGGCGCAACGGAGATACATTTGGGTGTAGACAAAATATTCTGGAGTTAATGCTACCCGGGCTGCTTCTACTTCTAGTCGACCAAACCGGGATCGACGCGTGGTCGGTTATGGTCCTTTATCCTTAAGCCCTAACCCCAGCAGCGTGCACATTAATTGGCTGATGATGTCTGATAACTACTCCTTGTGTTATTATTATCAGAAGTCCCAAAATTTAGACAGCATCGAGATAATGTCACTATCTAAAAGATGGCATAAGATAATTGAACTTAATGGCTGCTATACGTTAGGGTCATGATATACTATTTTTAAATATACATGAATTTTGAAGAATAATCTTAAATTTTAATAAAAAATGCGATAAACTTGAAACCTAAATTAATAGCTATGAATTTTACGATTAAATAAATAAAAATTTAATTGTCACTCATTCCTTTAAGCTGGATTTAAATTAAAAATGAGCCCACAGCCATCTTTTAGTAAAAACACATTCAAATGTATGTGAACACTAAGTAATCCAACTAACTACTAAGTATCCAACAGATGGATAATAATTTATTGGTGATTGTCCTGCAAAAGTCTTAATATATGACTTTTAAAATTTTATGAGATAAAACTCCGGCGATAGTTGCGAGTATTGGCAATAATGATACGTTCATTTATTAAAGTTCTTGTGAAGATTATAATAAAAGCAGTTTTACGTTGACTCGATAGTAAAATGATTTATGATGAGTTTATAACGAGGTGGGACATGTTAATGCTCAAGACGGGACAGATAACAAGTCCGGTTGATATCGATAGAGCGGTACTTGTTCTTAAATCGATAAATAATATGTCGATGTAGTTTTGTTTACCATTTAAAACTGGTATTTAAAAGTGATAAATTTGTATAAATTGAATTCTTAATATTAAAGTATGACCTGTCAACTATAGTTCATAACACTTTGCCAATTTTCCCAATTGCTTTTATCTGGAATAAATTAAGTAATATTATGAATCTTCATATTAATTTTCAGATTAACTGATTTGTTCGACTGAAGTTTGTATTAAGTACTTGTCGATTTAATTTGAGTTTTCAGAAAATAAAATTATTTCTAAGATATAGATATAAATTAAGTAAACTGCATATAAAAATCACAATTAAAACTTTTAGTTATCATCCTATAACTGGTATTAAAAGAACTATCGATATTCGTATAACTTTAGCGACCGTCTCTTGTTTTCAATTAAGTTGTCGAGAGCTATAGTACGTCCCTTTCCCTCGTATGGTACTGAGGTGTACATCTCACTCCCTCAAAGTAACGGAAGCAGTCTGGTTAGGTCTAATGATTAATAGTGTGAGGAAAGCATTTGCTACAACTTAGGCACAGTTCATGTTATAAAATTTATTATTTGGATATTCTTATGAAATAAAACAGCAGCAGTAGCTCGGTGGCGTAGTGGATAAGCGCCGCGGCCCGCGATCGTAGTCGTTATGCAACTTTCGCAAGGGTCAGTCACGGGATGGGTGACCAAAAAATTATTATCTCGAGCTACTCCGTGCTTCGGAAGGCACGTTAAGCCGTTGGTCCTGGCTGCATTTGCAGTCGTTAATCCGCATTGGGCTAGCGTGGAGGGTCATGGCCTATCCTCCTTAACCATCCATAAGGAAGGCCTGAGCCCCTGCAGTGGGACGTGGTAATAAAACAGCATCTATAAAATACTTTTATTCTAAATTCTCAGAATAGGAAGCCATCAGAAATGTTGATTTTTTGATTGATGGACTCGTCAACTTTTACATTTATTATGATTATAAAAGTAGTAAACGTTGACGAGTTGATGATATCTGCAAATTAACGTACTTACATTCACGTTTGGTTATACAAAACTGCCAAATTTTTTCACTTAATTTTAAACATGAATGAGTTGTGGGTAGAATATAAAATCACTGGCGGAAAATTTGTATGCTTTGCTTACTCGAAGAACACCCGTATAACTTTCTGAACTTAGCCATACTTGGTACACTTTAAGTGTTTATATTTTTGCTGTTTTTATGATAACGTTAGGTTGACCTATATATAAAAGTATGATTTTTTTGGACAATATACAAAATTTTTTTTTGGACAATATACAAAATTTTTTTTGGACAATATACAAAAAAATATGAAAATGATAAATACCTATAAAATATTAATGGTAGAAACAATCGACAGTATATGAAAATCAGTGACGGAAGACGGAGAAAACCGATGTGGCTATAAAATAATTTGAAGGTTGATGAAATGTTATTTAATTGAGTAGTTAAGGTTCTAAATTCCAAACATAATTTGTACTAAGTGACTGCCAATATACGTTTTAGCTTAATGTTTTTTTACCTTGTCTGATCCTTGTTTCAATAAAGTTTCAAAAAATTTTTGCACTCAATAAAAACAGACAACACGGAAATTACAAAAAGAAGAAACAGAACAAAAAAAATAGCTGCCTCATTGCTATGCAGCTATATCTTCCAGGTAACCAATGGTAAGAAAAAAACAAAATGAATTTAATAGTGTGATGGGTATTGGGTGCAATATAAGCAAGGATAAATAAATAAATAACCGATATAACTTTAGGCAAATATATACTACGATGATTAAAAGGCAGACTTAAAGTTCTATAGCAGTTAAAAATATATAGGTATATAATTAATAAGCTTGTTTTAGGATATAGTTAGGAAATTACTTAACCTGATCGCAAAACGTATTGAGTGAACGTGCTCTCTTGATACATCCACAACCTAACAGTTTTTTTTCCTTATTAGGAACTTTTTAAGAACGAATATAACCATTCCTTTTCTATTATGGTTAC